AAATTCTGTCTCAAAAAAAAAAAGGTAGAACTATAAATCTTTTAGAAAAAAACATAGCAGTATCTTAGCCTGAGGGTAGCAAAAGGTTTCTTAGGCCATAAAAAGCAGTAAACTATAAAAGGAAAAGTTTAGGGGACTTCATGAAAATTAAGAATTTCAGCTCATCAAAACAATTAAGAATACCTGGCAAAGTACCAGTATTCAAAATATATAAAGAATGTCTGCGACTGAATAATATAAACAATTTAGGGGCAAAAGAATTAAACAGACACTTTACAATGGAAGAGAGCAAAACTGCCAATAAGCACATGAAAAAGAACACTATCATTAGTCACTTGGAAATTGAAACTAAAACAGGATACTACTATCAATAATAAAAAACAACTGGAATGGTTAAATTTTAAGACAGAAAACATCAAAAGTTGGTAAGATGTACAGAAACCAGAACTTGTATGCTGTTGGTGGGATTACAAAATGACACAACCACTTTCAAAAAAGATCTGGTAGTTTATTCTTTTTTTTTTTTTAGATGGAGTCTTGTTCTGTCACCAAGGCTAGAGTGCAGTTGCGCGATCTTGGCTCACTGCAACCTCTGCCTCCTGGGTTCAAGCAATTCTCTGCCTCAGCCTCCCGAGTAGCTGGTATTACAGGTGCCTGCCACCACGCCCAGCTAATTTTTGTATTTTGAGTAGAGATGGGGTTTCAGCATCTTGGCCAGGCTGGTCTTGAACTCCTGACCTTGTGATCCACCCTCTTCGGCCTCCCAAAGTGCTGGGATTACAGGCGTAAGCCACTGTGCCTGGCCGGTAGTTTCTTAGAAAACCAAATGTGTACCTGCTCTACACCATGTAATTCCAGCTCCTCAGTATTTACCGAAAAAAACCCTGAAAACATCAGGCCACACATACTCACACACAAAAAAACTTGTACGAGAATCTTCTCAGCAACTTTATTCATAATATCCAAAACTGCAAGCAACTGAGGCACTATCAGTGGAGAATGGCCAATAATATACAGCATCGTCAACAGCGGAATAATACTTAAAAAACAACTGCCTAGGCCGGGCGCGGTGGCTCACACCTGTAATCCCAGCACTTTGGGAGGCTGAGGCAGGAGAATCACCTGAACCCAGGAGACAGAGGTTGCAGTGAGCTGAGATCCTATCACTGCATTCCAGACTAGGTGATGAAGCGAGAGTATGTCTCAGAAAAGAAAAAAAAAAAAAAAAAAAAAAAAAATTGAACCTTATGATGAATAACCCCCAAAAAGATATGCTGAAGTCCTAACTCCCAGTAACTAAGAATGTGCTCTTATTGGAAACAGGTTGTTGCAGATATAATGGAGTTCATACAAAGAGTAGAGGGCCTTTAATCCAATAGAACTAGTGTTCTAGTAAGAAAACAAAGACATACAGAGGAGACGGCCATGTAAAGACAGACACACCGGGAAGCTCCGTGTGCTGATGGAGGCAGAGACTGGAGTGACTCAGCTGCAAACCAGGAACACCATGGATTGCAGCCACACTGGAAGCTAAGGAGAAGGGCATGGAACAGATTCTCCCCTAGAGCCTTCAATGTGCATGACCCTGCTCCCTGCTGGCATCTTGGGTTTGGAGTTCTAGTCTTCAGAACTGAAAGAGAATAAACTTCTGCTAAGTTTGTGGTACTTTGTTACAGCAGCCCTAGGAAATAAAAAGAATTCCATTTATATGAAGTTCCAGAACAGAAAAAACTCATCTATGGTGGATAAAAACTAAAACAGGCCGGACGCGGTGGCTCACACCTGTAATCCCAGCACTTTTGGAGGCCGAGGCAGGCGGATCACGAGGTCAAGAGATTGAGACCATCCTGACCAACACAGTAAAACCCCGTCTCTACTAACAATACAAAAATTAGCTGGCCGTGGTGTCACATGCCTGTAATTCCAGCTACTCGGGAGGCTGAGGCAGGGCAACGCCCACAACTCAAAAAAAACACATGATTAAATGACAGGCAAAGTTGTGGCTTTTTCTAGGTTTTGGGAGAAAAACAGAAACAAAAAGAATGAATGAGCAAAGGATTTGAATAGATATTTCATATTTCTCCAAAGATGATATACAAACGGCCAATAAATGCATGCAAAGATGCTCGCCATCCTTAGTCACTGGGGACATGCAAATAAAAACTACAATGGGATAGTATCTCATACCCATTAGGATGGCTACTATCAAAACCCAGAAAATAGCAAGTGTTGACGAGGGTGCAGAGAAACTGGACACCCATGCACTGTTGGTGGGAATGTAAAACGGCACAGTCACTGTGGAAAACAGTATGGTGGTTTCCAAAACCAATTACACATAGAATTACCATATGATCTAGAAATTCCACTTCGAGGTATACATCCAAAAGAATAGAAAACAGGCCCCTGAACAGACATTTGTACACCCAAGTTCACACCAGCATTATTTCTAATAGCCAAGAGTGGAAGCAACCGAAGCGTTCACTCACAGACGAATAGGTTTCTTTTAATGTAGCATATACACACACTGGAATACTATTCAGCCTCAAAAGGAAGGGAATCCTGTCACATGCGATATGGATGAACCTGGAAAACATTATGCTAGGTAAAACAGGCCAGACACAAAAGGAGAAATACCTAAGAAAATTCCACTGATAGGAGGTACCTAGAGCAGGTGGGTTCACAGAAATGGAAAGGAGAAGGGTGGTTGCCAGGGATAGGGGGAGTGAGGAACAGTGAGCTTAACGGGTATGGAAATTCAGTTCGGGAGGATTAAAAAGTTCCGGAGATGGGATGGTGGTGACGGATGCACAGCAGCGTGAATGGAGGTGATGCCACTGAACCATAGCATTACAAATGGTTAAAATTTTCCTTCCTTCTTTCTAGTCAAAAATAAAAGCATTTTTAAGTGGTTAAAATGGTAGTCTGGTTATATTTTACCACCATTTTTTAAAACACAGAGTTAAGATACCAGTTCACTTGTACTAAGATGGCACGGAAAATAACAAGTGTTGGTGAGGGAGTGAAGAAATTCATACTCTGCTAATGGAAACGTAAAATGGTACAGCCACTGTAGAAAACAAATGTGGCAGTTCCTCAAAAAGCTAAACATAGAATTACCATAGGATCCAGCAATTCCACTCTTAGATATGTAGACAAAAGAACTGAAAACAGGTTATTCAAACAAATATTTGTACATAGATGTTCATGTTGCCAGTATTCAAATAACGAAAAAGGTGAAAAAACCCAACGTCCATCCAATGGATAAACAAAATGTAACAAGTATATCCATAAAACAAATTATTATTCAGCCGGAAAAATGAAGTACTTATCCATGCCACACTGTGCATGAACCTCAGAAACACGCTAAGTGAAATAAGCTAGACACACAAGATCCTATATTGTATAAGTGTCTTATATGAAATACCTAGAATTGCCAGATTCATAGAGACAGAAAGTGGAATAGAAGATGCCAAGGGCTACCGGGAAAGGTGAAAGGGGTAGTCAATGCTTCACGGTTAGAGTTTATCTGGGGTGATGAAAAAATTTTGGAAACAATGGTGATGCTTACATTGCGAATGTAATTAATTCTATTGAATTGTACTTAAAAATGGTTAAAATGTCAGTTTGTTATATATATTTTGGACAGTATTTTAAAAATTAATAATGCAATATATCAAAAACCATTAAATTGCACTTTTAAAAATTTTATTGAATTTGTGTTACCCAGACTGGTCTCAACTCCTCGGTTCAAGCGATCCTCCCACCTCCGCCTCCCAAAGCGCTAGGATTACAGCTGTGAGCCACTGCACCCGGCCAAACCGCACACGTTTAGTAGGTGAACTGTCCGGTATGTATTTCAATAAAGCTGTTTTTCTTAAACTGTTGTTTAAAAATGGTTAAAATGGCATTTTGGTTTTTTACCACAATAAAATACATAAATGTTTAAAAGGCAGGTACACATATAACTGTGACCAAAAAAATTAAAAAAAAAAAAAAAAAAGACCCGTAGACGAGAGCGCACAGACAGGAACCACTGCACGGCTTATTGCTCACACTAGCGGAGGAAAGAGTCAAGGGTTCAATCTGGGGCTCCTGAGTCCACCGGCTGTAGCGGTTAGTGATAAAAAAGCGATTTTAGACTTGTTGCATGATTTTCTTTTTGGAGACGGAGTCTCGCTCTGTCGCCCAGGCCGGAGTGCAGGGGCGCGATCTCAGCTCACTGCAACCTCTGCCCCCCGGGTTCCCGCCATTCTCCTGCCTCAGTCTCCCGAGTAGCTGGGACTACAGGCGCCGCCACCGCGCCCGGCTAATTTTTGTATTTTTAGTAGAGACGGGGTTTCACCGTGTTGGCCAGGATGGTCACGATCGGCTCGTTGCATGACTAGGAGAATAAAGAATTACGTGAATGGAGATGTACAGATAAGTAAATCAGAGGCCGGGCGCGGGGGCTCACGCCTGTAATCCCAGCGCTTTGGGAGGCTGAGGCGGGCGGATCACCGAGGTCAGGAGTTTGAGACCTGCCTGACCAACATGGTGAAAACCCGTCTCTGCGAAAATACAAAAATTCCGGGCGCGACGGTGCGCTCCTGTAGTCCCAGCTACTCGGCAGGCTGGGGCAGGAGAGTCGCTTGAACCCGGGAGGCGGAGGCTGCAGTGAGCCGAGATCGCGCCCCCGCCCTGCAGCCTGGGCGAGAGCGAGACCCTGTCTCAAAAAAAAAAAAAAAAAAAAAAAAGAAGGCTCTAGACGGGCAATTCTTTAATTTTTAAAACAACAAACACCCATCGAACACAGCGCGGGCATCGTGACAAGGGACAAAATCTTGTCCTTGACTTTACAACCCATCGACATTTGGGGACCCATAAACCCCCAAACCTCTGAGAACTATTTAGACAAACACCCGTGGGGCTTTTTGGTTTGTACTTTTTAAACGGAGAAGCCATGATTCACCGTTTCAAAGATTTGCGGCTTTCGGCCAATAATCAGGCCGGGGTTTACTCACCCACTTCCTCGGCCTCCTGCCCCGACGCTCTGAGCTTGCACTCCCGGGGATAGTGCTTCTGAATGACCTTCCACAGGTCCACGTTGACGAGAGAATTCCTTCGGGTGTGGTACCGAGTCCACGAAGACACGCGGCGGCGACAGAAGGGGCAGCAGAGACTCGCCTTCTCCACGGTCGCCTGGAAGCACGGTCTGCACAGCGTGTGGCCGCACGGCAGGGTCACGGGCTCCACGAGGATGTCCATGCAGATCCCGCACTGGCACTCGGACCGCGAGGGGACGGCGCCTTTGGGTAGAGCCATTTTAGTATCTTAATAAAGTCGACTGAACGACGACACCTGCGCGAAAAACAGTCCTATTTTCGGCCAACCACAGACAGAGCAAAAGCACAGTTTTGTGTTTCAATATCGCGCCCAGAAGCGTATCAGAATTCGGAGAACAGGGGCATCCAACCCGCCTCGAAGCAAAAAGGCGCTCTCAGGGTCAGGCAAACAGGAACGCCCCGGAGGGCGGCGTCTTTGTCCATGTTTACGGCAAACGTCCGGCAAGCAAACGATTGCAGGCTTTCGTCGGAGGAGCCGCGCTGCTCCGGGGCGTGAACCCTGCGGCTGCGGCTCCTGGTGCAGCGAGGGGAGCGCGCCAAGTCCCCTCCTCCCCTCATCCGGAGAGGATGCTCCGCTCAGCTCGGGGCAGCCCGGCCCCGGGACGCGGCTCCGGGAGGAACTCGGGCTCCGGCTGCTGCAGAACTTCCGCTTTGGCGCTGCTGCGGGGGCGACGCGCGACTCCCGGGTTCAGCTTCCCGGCGCCTGGCGCAGTTTCCCAGAGCTCCGCGCCCGGGTCCCTCTTACGCAGCCAGAAGCCCTATTCGTTGCAGCGGCGCAGCAGCCACCGGGCAAGCGCCAGCAACGTCACAACCGCCCGCCAAAATCGCGCTTCCCACCCAGAAAGCTGCCCAAGGGCGGACGCTCCCGGGGCGGGACTTCCGGCGTCTGCGCCCCGCCCGCCCTCCCAGCCGGAGACGGCCCAGCCCCCGCGTCGCAGCGCCTGCTGGTGCAGCCTGGGTGGAGCCTGACTTTCCCCGGAGATTTCTGCCAGGCCTCAGACACCCTGGGTTTCTTGGTTTCTGGGTAGAAAAAGGGAAACCGCAAAACAAATTCAACAGCCACACACGGCCGGGCGCGGTGGCTCACGCCTGTAATCCCGGCACTTTGGGAGGCCGAGGCGGGCGGATCACCTGAGGTCGGGAGTTTGAGACCAGCCTGGCCAACATGGCCAAACCCCGTCTCTACTAAAAATACAAAATCAGCCGGGTCTGGTGGTGCGCGCCTGTAGTCCAGATTGCTTGGGAGGCTGAGGCAGAAGAATCGCTTAAACCCGGGAGGCGGAGGTTGCACTGAGCCGAGATCGCGCCACTGCACTCCAGCCTGGGCGACAGCAAGACTGTATTAAAAAAAAAAAAAAAAAGGCTGGGCTTGGTGGGTCACGCCTGTAATCCCAGCACTTTGGGAGGCCGAGGCAGGCGGATCACAAAGTCAGGAGATCGAGACCATCCTGGCTTACAGGGTGAATCACCGTCTCTACTTAAAAACAAAAAAAATATATATCTATACACGTATATATATACACACACACACATAAAAAATAAAATAGCCGGGCGAGACGGCGGCGCCTGTAGTCCCAGCTGCTCGGGAGGCTGAGGCAGGAGAATGGCATGAACCCGGGAGGCGGAGCTTGCAGTGAGCCGAGATCGCGCCACTCACTCCAGCCTGGGCGACAGAGCGAGACTTCCTCTCAAAATACTTTTAAAAAATTTTTAAAAAGCCGAACAGTAATACTTACCTCAGTACCCTTGTGAGTACGTTTTTTGTTTCTATTGATTTGTAACGAAGCTGCTTAGGTCGCTTTCCAAAATTCTTTAAAAAGCGTCTCCAAGAAATATTGTGGTCAGAGAATCCAGAAACCTGGGACAATGTAACACACGCTTACACTTCCTTCTGTACGGCCCAGACACTTACGCAGCCCAGAGTAGGTTGTTTTAGAATTGCCTTCCCTTCTGAAAGGGCCTGAGGCCCTTTGGCTTGGGCGACAAACGTCAAGGCTGGCTGAATCCCAGGGCTTAGATGTTATACATGGGCATCATTTAGATAATATATAGTTTATCGTTTCAACAATCAAAATTCTACAAAGGAGATTAACAAGAATATAACTTCACATTTTATGCATGTTGAAGTAAGTAACCACGCTGGGCCGGCTTGAGGCTTCTATGGTTTGTTTTAGAGTTGGTGTGCTGGGCCCTGAGGTTTTTTCTCTTTTGTTTTAGAATTAGGCTTTCACATCGTTTGAACCCAGGAGGCGGAGGCTGCAGTGAGCCAAGATCACCCCGATGCACTCCAGCCTGGGGGACAGAATGAGACTCATCTCAAAAAAAAAAAAAAAAAAAAAAAAAAAGGGGGAGCTTTTTTTAGAAAAAAAAAAACAAAAAGCCAGACACGGTGGCTCATGCCTGTACTCCCAGCACTTTGGGAGGCTGAGGCAGGTGGATCACTTGAGACCAGGAGTTCAAGACCAGCCTGGCCAACATAGTGAAACCCCCGTCCTTACTAAAAATACAAAAATTAGCTAGGCATTGTGGCAAGCGCCTGCAATTCCAGTTACTCAGGAGACTGAGACAGGAGAATCGCTAAACCTGGGAGGCAGAGGCTGCGGTGAGCCGCGATTGTGCCACTGCACTCCAGCCTGGGGGACAGAGCAAAATTCCACCTCAAAAAATACAAATAAATAAATAAATAAAAGAATTGGGGTCTCACTGTTTTGTCCAGGCTGGACTACAACCCCAGAGTTCCAGGGATTCTTTTGCCTCAGCCTCTGGAGTAGCTGGGTCTAGAGCTTGCAACGCCATATCCAGCTGCAGACCTGTGTTTTTTGAGGGAATATTCAATCAGTGTGAAGGAAGAGAAAAGAAAATCACTGTGCATGAAAACGGACTGTAAGTTGTTTTGAGACTGCTGAGAGCATTCAGGCTGGGTAGAGGAATTTTCCAGGTTGAGAAAAACAAGGAGACATGGGTCCTTGGTAGAAATCTTTGGGAGCTTTTATTTCAATGTGGGTTCAGAAGCCTGTTATTGTCTGTGATAGCTCACACCTGTAATCCTAGCACTTTGGAAGACCAAGGTGGGAAGATCACTGGAGCCCAGGAGTACAGGTCCAGCCTGGGCAACATAGTGAGACCTGTCTCTACAAAAAATAAAAAAAATAACTGGATGTGCTGGCTTACGCTTGTACTCTCAGCTACTCTGGTGGCTGAGGTGGGAGGATCACTTGAGCCCAGGAGGTCAAGGCTGCAGTGAGCGGTGATCATACCACTGCACTCCAGCCTGGGTGACAGAGCAAGACCCTGTCTCAAAAAAAAGAAAAAAAAAAGAAACCTGGGACTGTCATTCAGTTGTCTACAGTATCAGTCCCTTAGCTTGGAATTTCAGGCTCATTTTCTGTTCGTTTGTTTGTTTTTTTGAGACAGCTCTTCATTCTGTCGCCCAGGTTGGATTGCGGTGGTGTGATCTCAGCTCACTGCAACCTCCACCTCCTGAGTTCAAGTGATTCTCGTGCCTCAGCCTCCCAAGTAGCTGCAATTACAGGCGCATGCCTTGTAATACCACGTGCGTTGTAATACCATGCCTGGCAAATTTTTGTATTCTTAGTAGGGATGGGGTTTCACTATGTTGGCCATGCTGGTCTCAAACTCCTGACCTCAGGTGATCCACCCACTTTGGCCTTCCAAAGTGCTGGGATTACAGGAGTGAGCCACTGCACCGAGCCTTCAGGCTTCCTAGTATGTCCACAAGGTGGTTTTCCCATGGAGTCTCCCATTATTCTTTTAAACATGCAACTGTGATTTATTCTCTGTCATCCGTACATTTTGCTTTCATGACATTGCTTTCTCGGTTCATCCTAATGGGTTACTTTGTGGCTGTGCCTACTTCAAACATCAATTTGGTGGCTCACACCTATAATCCCAGCACTTTGGGAGGCAAAGGCGGGCAGAACATGAGGTCAGGAGTTCCAGACCAGCCTGGCCAATATGGTGAAGCTCCATCTCTACTAAAAATACAAAAATTAGCTGGGCGTGGTGGCAGTTGCCTGTAATCCCAGCTACTCGGGAGGCTGAGGCAGGAGAATTGCTTGAACCCCGGAGGCAGAGGTTGCAGTGAGCCCAGATCACACCACTGCACTCCAGCCTGGGTTGACAGAGCACGACTCCATCTCAAAAAAAAAAAAGAAATTCACTTCTTCCAGAGTGTACTTTTATGTGCAATTTAATGCACTTCCCACCACCAGTGATGCCCCTTTTCTAAATTCACCCAATCATATATTGCCCAGTGATACTGATTTTTATTGCAGTTTTACCATTGAACTCCTAGATTTTGATTTCTATCTTCAGGTGCTTATGTCTTGTGTAATGGATATATTTCACGTACTTCCTCAAATTTCCTTCGCCTTGTTTGTTTTCTGTGCCCATAATCATGTGTTCGCTTGGGGCTCACTAGTTGCATTTCTGGAATCTCTGGCTTCTCCTGCCACTTCTGAACAATGCAGGAGCTGACTTCTCAGTGGCTGCTAGGACCTGGGTAATGCATGCTGGGAGTATGGGGGCGGGGGTCACTCCCCATGGAGTAACTTTTGCCAGCTGAAACCAATGGACTGAGTAAGCACAATACTTAAATTCCCTTTTCTCCTTCCTTCCGAGAATGCGAGGATGGATTCTCCAGTGTGTCTGGAGACAGGCAAGACTGAGTGAGTGTACCTGCTGAAAAAGCTGCTGTGTCTCTTCTGGCTCATTTTCAAGGCGGGGCCAGCAAGGTAACACATCACCATGTATTACTTCACATCCTCCTCTACCTAACTTCCTTCCAGCTTTATTCACTCTGGCTGTCCTGAATTTGTACCTCCCAAATAAAGCACTGGCACTTAATCTTTACCTCGAGGGCAGGATCCACATTTTTAATGTTTCTGTTATCCACAGCACCTAGTACATGGCATTTGGTATTCAATAAATATTATAAATAAATGATCAAGATGTAAGAATCCCCTTTCTGGTATAAATAACTATGGTACTTCATTAGAGAACAAATACACATTAAGATACAATTTATAGTATCTCATGATGTATATTTTAGGTATTTTGTGTTTTAATTTATGAAAATAGAGATGAGGTCTCACTCTTGTTACAGCTCTTTTACTCCTGAATTTGATGAGTTCTGCGTTCTTGTCCCATGACTGAGAAGAATGAGGCACACAGACACTGGAGAGTGAGTAAGGCAGAGTAGAATTTATTGAGTGACAGAAAAGCCTCTTGACAGTGAGAGGGTACTCGATGGTGGGTTGCTGGCCACGAGCCTGAGTCTATGGGTTTTTGTGGGCTAGAAATGGACAAGTGCATGCTGATTGTTCTGTGGCTATGCTTGGAAAAGCACCATTCAGAAATAGGTACGACAGTATAGAGGACCAATCGGGGAAGGGTAGGTATGTGTAAAATAGGTGAAGGATAAGGACTAATCAGAAGAGAGGGTGCCAGACGAGAATGGGAGCTCTCAGTCTGGTTCATGGATTTATCCGGAACTCATAGCTTGGTTTTCAGGCTTTAAACTGTCCTTGGCTTGAAGGTTGAGTTTCACCAGGGACCTATCCCTGTCTGCCTAGGAATTTATCTGCCTCCTATTGCTATCACTATGTTTCCCAAGCTGGTTTCAAACCCCTGAGCTCAAGTGATCCTCCTACCTTGACCTCCTAAGATGCTTGGATTAGAGGCATGAGCCACCATGTCCAGCCTTGTTTATTTTTTAAATAGGTAATACACATTCACATGGTTCAAAATTGAAAATGCCAAAATGGATTAACAGTGAAAAGACCTCCTCTTATCTTTGACCCCTAGCCTCTTAACTTTCTTTCCTGACAACTAATGTTGTCACTTTCTTGTGTATCTCTGCAGAAGTTTATGGATAGATAAACTAATATGCATTATATATATATTTGATTTTGTACCTTTTTTCCACTTAGCAATATATATTGGAAATAAACATTTGAAAAGAACAATGCATTTGGTGGTAACTTCATATCATTACACAAAGAGCTTCTTCATTCTTTTGTATGGCTACACAGAAAGTATCTATTGTATCCATTTGTCATAATTTATTTAACATCCCCTCACTCTTTGCTATAAAAATAAGACTGTAATACATTGTGCATACTTTTGGCCATTTCCAAGATGAGTCACTGGGTTATAGAGTAGCAGGTTAGTTTTTGATGGATGGTATCGACCCTTTGAGGGGCGACTTTTGCTCTTCAGGGGTTCTGACTGCTTTCGCCTTCTCAATTACCTGCACAGCCCTCAGCAAACTGTCCTGCAGAGCCTGGTTCTTTACCATGTTAGTAATCAGGAACGTGATGTCCCTGATGTACATCTGCCTCGCTTTAGCAGTATAGTGTTCTGCCTTGTTACCGTGTGCAATAAAGAAGGTACAAAGTGCTGTGATGTCTCCTTCTTGCAGCCCACACTCCTCCAGAATGGAATCCCATACAACTCTAATGCGCTCGTTCTTAACTTTTCGTCTGAGTACAGAGGCTAAGGTTGGAAGACCTCTCACCAGGTCTGGCAGCTTCTCAAGCACACGAGTATGCAAGCAGATAAGTACTTCAATGACGTAGCTGTATAAAATATTCAATTCCATTGAAGTGAACCTACAAAAAATATAGAGAACTTCTTAAGCAGTCAAAAATAATTTATACAGAAACAGAAAATGAATTCTTTTAGGATAACTCAATATGAACCCACTAGGAGAACCAGCTGTTGTAATTTAGAAAATATTTACTTTAGAATTTAAATTCAAAATCAAATACTTACCTTTTTTGTTTGTTTGTTTTAAAGAGATGGGGTCTCACTTTGTTGCCCAGGCTGTTCTCGAACTCCTGAGCTCAAGTGATCCTGTTGCCTCGGCTTCCCAGAGTGCTGGGATTAAAGGCAGGAGCCATCATGCCCTGCCAATATTTACTTTAGAATTAATGCAGATAGACTGGGCACAGTGGCTCACTCCTATAATCCCAGCACTTTGGGAGGCCGAGGTGGGTGGATCACCTGAGGTCAGGAGTTTGAGACTAGCCTGACCAACATAGTGAAACCCTGTCTCTACTGAAAATACAAAACTTAGCTGAGTGTGGTGATGCATGCTTGTAATGGTAGCTAATCAGGAGGCTGAGGTAGGAGAATGGCTTGAACCCGGGAGGTGGAGGTTCCAGTGAGCTGAGATTGCCCCACTGCACTCCAACCTGGGTGACAGAGCAAGACTCCATCTCAAAAAAAAAAAAAGACAGAAAAAGAAAAAGAAATTAATGCAAGTAAGGCTTTGGCAAGCAAGAGACCCTGTGATGAGATATGTACCATAGTTCCTGGCATATAAAGAGATGTGCAAATTAATCTTTTTTAAAAACCATAACCTAAGAAAATGTAATTGCTTTACAATCCATTGTGGGAAAGAGACTAAAAAATTCAATTTTGGAATGACCACTGGAAGCTCTCAAAGCCACAGAATCCCACTGATTTCTCAACTGATACTCACTTGAGTGCCCGAACTGCTGTCCACATCTCATCTTGGGCTGCTTGGTTTGCCAGAGTCTTACTATGATGCTCGAATTTCTGCATCAGGTTTTCCTTGGTGAAGTCTAGTTCTCTGAACTGTGCTTCTAACGCTTGGAGTTTGTGGTCTACTCTATAGGATAACAGAATCAAGGGTTAGTTTAGGTTATAGGACAAAACTAAGGTTTTGCTTTAAGCTGAGGCTCTAGTACATTATTTACAACCCCTGCCAAATTTGGATAACTTTTTTTTTTTTAACTTTTACTTTAAACTATGAAGGGAAAATGGGTAGCTATTTAAATTTGAAAGTTTCAACAAAAATGGTTCCATTTGCCGTTCCCTCTAGCCACCATCCTTGTCCTTTCATCCCATGTATTGCAAACCTTTGAACTATCTAATTACTTGAATTGCCTATCATGTCTTGTTTTTGTATTATACTTTATGCTTTATTTGTTTATGTATGTATTTATTTATTTTCTAATACAGAGTCTCACTCTGTCACCCAAACTGGAGTGCCATAGCACAGTCACTACCTCCCAGGCTCAAGTGATCTTCCCACCTCAGCCTCCCGAGTAGCTAGGACTATAGTTGTGTGCCACCATACCTGGCTAATTTTTAAAAATATTTCTTTTGTAGAGACCAGGAATTGCTATGTTTGGCTGGTCTTGAACACCTGGGCTCCAGTGATCCACCTGTCTTGGCCTCCCAAAGTACTGGGATTACAGGCATGAGCCACCATGCCCGGGCTATATCTTATGCGTTAAAGACTATTTTATGTAAGCATTACTTTGGTGTTCACAGCAACCACAAAAAGCAAAGCAGTCATTTTTACTATTTTGCTATTAAAGAAATTGAGTCTCAAGAGGATTGAGACCTAATGTCATAAAGCTAGCTAGTGCTGAGACCAGTATATAATAAGGTGACTTTTTCTACCCTATTCTGGTTGTCCAACTCTTACCCTTTCTTCCAGAATCAGCTCAAATCCACTGCCTTGTTAAATTCCCCTTCTGCCTGGTGATCGCCTTGCCCGCCTACTTCTCGCTTACAAGCACTGCCTCTGTGAACCCATCTCCCCACCTCCTGCTTTACTATTAGGGTTAGTGTTTCATGAACTAAACTGTAAGTTCTTGGAGGGAAGGAATCAGAGACTATTTCTTAGATACCTTTATGCCTGTCTCCCAATACCCAGCAAAGGTCTGACACTGTAATAAAAGTTTTCCTGTATGATTGACATCTTTGATGTGAATGAAATGCTGAGTTTTGTAACCCAAAATGAGGATTTGAGTAGCTCTGAACAGCCGTGACCATCAGAGGGTGCTGTGGCACCAGCATTATGTCTAATTAATCACAGAGACTGGAGGACACACCTCACTTGTCTGAGCCACCTAGATTGTCGTTATGAGGGAAGTGATAAGTCAACACACATGCTACTTCTCTGAGCTTCTGTGTCCCCAGTGACCCGAATACCTTTGTGACTGCCCAGCATTCTATGCTTGATCATCTTTTATTCTTGGTTCTGAATTTCTCTCAAGGCTAATTCTCCTTCAGGTACTACATCTCTCCTAAGCTTTAAACCTGTATTTTCTTTTCTTTTCTTTTTTTTTTTTTTTTTTTGAGATGGAGTCTCGCTCTGTCACCCAGGCTGGAGTGCAGTGGCACAATCTTGGCTCACTGCAACCTCTGTCTCCCAGATTCAAGCGATTCTCCTGCCTCAGTCTCCCAAGTAGCTGGGACTACAGGCGCCACCACACCCGGCTAATTTTTGTATTTTTAGTAGAGATGGGGTTTTGCCATGCTGGCCAGGCTGGTCACAAACTCCTGACCTCAGGTGATCCACCCGCCTCAGCCTCCCAAAGTGCTGGAATTACAGGCGTGAGCCACCGCGCCCGGCCTAGACCTGTATTTTCAATATGTTTTGTGCATCTCCACAAAGATGGAGATGTCAAACTCAACCCTCCTAAGCTTAACCTACTAATACCTCCCCCATCTTCAGACATGTGAAGAAATGTCAACTGCTTTACACATAGATAAAACTCAGTATAAAATGTTCCCTTTGTAGGAATAAAAGCCTGTGTGACCTAATGTGCCTGCAATTTCTGTCTACAAGGCAAAGCCATGTGATTTGAGCCGGGTGCAGTGGCTCACTCCTGTAATCCCAGCACTTTGGGAGGTCAAGGCGGGAGGATCGCTTTAGTCCAGGAGTTTGAGACCAGCTTGGGCAACATAGTGAGACCTCATCTCTACAAAAAATAAAAAATTAGCCTAGTGTGGTGGTGTGTGCACTTGTGGTCCCAGCTACTGGGGAGGCTGAGGTATGAGAATTGCTTGAGCCCAGGAGGCCAAGGCTGCAGTGAGCTGTGATGATGCCACTGCACTCAGCTTGGGCAACACAGCGAGACCCTGTGTCAAAAAAAAAAGTCATTTGGCTATTTGTATTAACTTCTAGACCTTTAAGACTATATTGCTTATAGGTCTTCTGTAGTTTGAATCTTAGAGAGTAATTCTAGCTTGTCAATCAGTATAAAAATGTACAGTTGCAGTTCTCTGGAATCCTCTCACCAAAGGACAGTCCCAGGCCATTCCACAAAAATCTAAACCAACATGCAAGTCTGAGTGCAGGCTGTTTTGTTTTACTACAGTTCCCTAGTCCCGTTAATGACCTCACCATCCAACCAATTCCTTGAACTAGAAATCTCAGAATAATTCTCAACGTTTCTTCTTCCCCCAATTTATGTCTCTCTAACCCATTCCTGCCTCTCTATCTCCACTAAATGAGTTTCTCATCATCTTTCACTAGGACTCAAGATTACAGTAGCCTAACCGGACCCCTGTTTTCCATTTCTCATCCATCCTCCAGACACATTCTTCTAAAACACAATTCCGATTCTGTAACTCAGCTGATTACAAATGGTTGACGTTATCCTGGCTTGCCTAGTGATCTACTCAGAGGCAAATTGGATCTCTTCGGCAGGAAAGTCAAGGGCCTTCACCCTTTGCTCCTGTCTTCTGCCAGTCCCCTCACCCATCCTAGTCACCAATACATGAGACATCTCTTGTCATCTGCTTGAATACATCGTGTGGTTCCAGGCTTACATATGGCATATACCCACTGTTTCCTCAGCCTAGAATTCCTTCCCATATTTTTCTCCCTCATAAGCTCCTACTTGCACTTTAAGATCCAGCTTAAATGACCCTATATGAAGAGTTCCTTTTTCTAGTGTCAAAGGCAAATTGGTTGATCCTCCTTTCATATTTGCACAGATCTTTAGGAACATCACTGTTGAAAGGTCAGTCACATTAAATTGTAAATATTTTTCAAACTTTTCTCTTTCCTACAGGTTGTGAGCTCGTTGTGAGCTCCTTTTACCTTTTTTTGTAAATCTAGAATTTAGCACATTCAATGGCGTTACTGCACCTGGGAGCAGACTTTTCTTTATTGTTAATTTACATAGGTTTGGGCCTGGAAGACTTAAACCACTGTAATAGAAATGGAATTCTTTTTTTGGATGGAGTCTCGCTCTGTTGCCAGGCTGGAATGCAGTGGCACAATCTCAGCTCACTGCAACCTCTGCCTCCCGGGTTCAAGTGATTCTCCTGCCTCAGCCTCCCGAGTAGCTGGGATTACAGGCACCCACCACCATGCCCGCCTAATTTTTGTATTTTTAGTAGAGGCAGGGTTTCACCATGTTGGCCAGTATGGTCTTGATCTCTTGACCTTGTGATCTGCCTACCTCAGCCTCCCAGTGTGCTGGGATTATAGGCATGAGCTACCGCGCCAACCATAGAGACAGAATTCTAATGAGCATGTCTGTAGTTCTTTGTTTATTTCTATTCTTCATTCTTCTCTTACCCATCTTCCCAGAATAGCAGACCCATGCTTGCTCCCTCCCTATAGCCCTCAGCAACCTTTTCATTGCCTCCTTCAAGGATATCAGGGTTGTGGTTTCATTGTTCATCTTCTTAAGGCAAAAGGAAAGAAAACAAAAACAAAGCAAAACAAAAAAGCAATAAATGTTTGAATCCAGAATTTTCTGCTGTCTTCCTCTCAGCAACAGGCAGCAGTAGCATGAGCACTCAATCTACATTCTGCCTGAAAGGTCACTCAGTACAAGAAGCTTTTAATAGCTTGCATATCCAAATATAGTTTCAAAGAACTGATCCTGTGAACACAGGTGTCCTGGAATGCACTATCACATTTGCGTTTGAAAACTGAACCATAGTATATCAACACAGAGCAACAACCACATATAATTATGACTCTGTATACATGACTGTAATGTATATACAGATACATTAATGTAACATACAAAATTAAGTTACATGGAAATGTTACTGTCATATTTTAACAGCTTCATTATTCAATTACAACCTAAATTAGGTTTAAAGAGTGCCCCAGATCTTTTATGATGATGGTATCAAAGCAAAAAACCTAACCATCATTAGAAACTACTAAATGCTTGTTATGGCTGGGCATGGCGGCTCACTCCTGTAATCTCAGCCCTTTGGGAAGCCAAGGTGGAAGGATTGCATGAGCCCAGGAGTTCAAGACCAGCCTGGGCCACAGAGCGAGACTGTGTCCACAAAAAATACAAAAATTAGCCAGGAGTGGTGGTGCACACCTGTAGTCCCAGCTACTCAAGAGGCTGAAGTGGGAGGACTGCTTGAGCCCAGGAGTTTGAAGCTGCAGTGAGCTATGATAATGCCACTGCACTCCAGCCCGGGCAAGAGAATATATATATATACATATATATATATAGAGAGAGAGAGAGAGAGACAGACAGACAGAGAGAGAGAGCTTCTAGTATTAGATTAGGAATTGAATATAAATACGGAAATAAAATAGGACTCCTGTTTTCATGAGATTTAAAATCTAATTGGGAAGATAGAATATATCCTTAAACAGAACATGTATATGGGATGTGTGCTAAGTACATGGAGACCATAAAAATGATAGAAGATGGGAGACTAAGTCACTGAAATCATGGGTCGTTGGGGAAATGCTCACACTGAAGTTAGTACTTGCCTTGGCCTTAAAGGTCAAGGTCTTTGATTATCAGAGAAGAGCGTTAAGGGTGTTACAAACTGGAGACGTTGGTGAGCAAAATCACAGAGGTGGCAAGGTAAATAATGTGTTCAGGAAACAATGAGTAGGTATGTTTTGAGCAAAAGATTCATATAAGAAAAAGAAAATAACCACACCATTTAAACTGGTAAGAGCGATGTCATGTATTTGTTCTTTCATTGAATAATTTATTCACTTATTCAATATTTACTGAACATCACAGATATTAACCGAATGGATAAAACCTACGAATGGATGAGCAGCACTATTCCAGGCACTGGTAATATAGTGATAAGTAAGGCGAAATCCTTGTCCTCAAGGGGCATGCTCGCAGGGAGACAGCACATAAGGATTACAAGAGAGGGGATGCTTCTAGCTAGCCTGGTAAGTAGTTTGGACAGATGTGAGCCGTTGGTTCTAGAAGATTAATCCAGGACCGGGCGCAGTGGCTCACACCTGTAATCCCAACACTTTGGGAGGCCAAGGCGGGCAGATCACTTGAGGTCAGGAATTCGAGAACAGCCTGGCCAACATGGCAAAACCCCATCTCTACTAAAAATACAAAAATTAGCTGGGCATGGTGGCACACACCTGTAGTCCCAGCCACTTGGGAGTCTGAGATAGGAGAATCACTTGAACCCAGGAGGTAGAGGTTGTCGTGAGTGGAGACAGCGATTGTGCCACTGCACTCCAGCCTGGGTGACACGGCAAGACTCCATCTAAAAAAAGAAAAAAAAAGAAAAAAGAAAAAAAGAAAAGATGAGCCCGAAAAGAAAAGAAAAAAGAAAAGATGAGCCTGGGCGCGGTGGCTCACGCCTGTAATCCCAGCACTTTGGGAGGCTGAGGCGGGCGGATCACAAGGTCAGGAGATCGAGATCATGGTGAAACCCCGTCTCTACTAAAAAAATACAAAAAAAATAGCCGGGCGAGGTGGCGGCGCCTGTAGTCCCAGCTGCTCGGGAGGCTGAGGCAGGAGAATGGCGGGAACCCAGGAGGCGGAGCTTGCAGTGAGCCGAGATTGTGCCACTGCACTCCAGCCTGGGCGACAGAGCGAGACTCCGTCTCAAAAAAAAAAAAAAAAAGAAAAAAGAAAAAAAAAGAAAAAAAGAAAAGATGAGCCCGGGCGCGGTGGCTCACGCCTGTAATCCCAGCACTTTGGGAGGCCAAGGTGGGCGCATCACGAGGTCAGGAGATCAAGACCATCCTGGCTAACACGGTGAAACCCTGTCTCTACTAAAAAATACAAAAAAACTAGCTGGGCGAGGTGGCGGCGCCTGTAGTCCCAGCTACTGGGAGGCTGAGGCAGGAGAATGGCGTGAACCCGGGAGGCGGAGCTTGCAGTGAGCCGAGATCGCGCCACCGCACTCCAGCCTAGGAGACAAAGTGAGACTCCTTCTCAAAAAAAAAAAAAGAAAAGATGATTCTAGCAGTGATATTGTAGTATAATAGGAAATATATTTGGTCTTTGTCCCCATTTCAGTCACAAAGCTCCTAAAACCCTGGGAATTTCCTGAGTGATAGGAGTGTCCTTTGTTATTCATAATGAGCCCCTTTTGATCACATGTGAGTTCATGCTAATGAGGTGATTTAGGGTGGTGCAACTGGATTAGCCTCCAGATGGGACTGGTCACTAGAAAGACCAAGTGATTATAGGTTGGAACTTTCAGAGCCACTCACCAACCTCTAGGAATTGGAATGAGTGAGCTGGAGATTAAGTTCCATAGAAACTCTTGGACAATGAGGTTTGATGAGCTCCTGTGGTGTCACAGAGAGGGTGTGGAAGCTCTACAGCACCCTCCCCCATACCTTCCTCTATGCATCTCTAACAGCACCCCCCATATCTTCACCTATACATATCTAACAGCACCCCCCCATCCCTTCCCCATGCATCTCTAAAACTGCCTGTTCATCTGTGTGGCATTCACATAGCCACACCTAGTCAAACCAATCCCCTGGGCTCTATGCAAATCAGACACCACCTCCTTGAGCCCTCCTGACATAACCAACTGTTTCTGCTAAAGGAGGTTATTCCATTTGGAGCCCTCCTCCCTCTGTTTAGGGGAGCTGTTCTCTTCCTTCTTGCCTATTAAACTTTCCACTCCTTAATCCACTCTATGTGTGTCTTTGTTGCTAATTTTTTTGGCATGTGACAAAGGACCCTGGGTGTTTCTCCAGGCAATGCAGCTGTATCACCACACTCAGCTAGTTTTTGTATTTTTAGTAGAGACGGGGTTTTGCCATGTTGATCAGGCTGGTCTTTAACTCCTGACCTCAAGTGATCCACCTGCCTCAGCCTCCCAAAGTGCTGGAGACAAAGGAGCCTGGCACAAGACAAAATACCCTGGGTGTTTCCCTAGATAATGGAGCCATATCATTTTGGGGGGCTCATCCGGAATCCCAAGGTACAACATTCAATGGAGCAGTGAGTAGAGGAGTGGACTCAAAATTTGTCCTTTCATTCTGAGGCTCTTGGTCTCCATTTAAAAATCAAATCAAATCAATAACAAGCATCCATCAGCCAGTTAAAGACACGTTTAGTGTGGCTGCCATTCTTAGAGACTTGGATATCAGGCTTACTGGAGAGAACATGGAGACTCCCGTGCAATACCCATGGGTCATTGGGCATGTTGGTCATGCTTCCAACCAGCTTCCTTTCATGAGGAAACCTAACCATCCCATGAGGCCAGGAAAAGTTCTGAAGCAATTTAGAATTTCTGGCCAGTGCACGCCCTTGTATTATTCAAATGCTTCTGGACTGGACTCAACCTCCAATAGCCTGCCCACATGTTGGTAAAGGATCCCCAGCTAGCCTGTTGGAAAATTTCCCTTCTTTTTCTGTCTGTGATCACTATGTCTCTTATTTTCTCTGTATGTCAAATGTGATGGAATTTTTGCAGCCCAGGGAAGTAATCCTGTTAGGGAAGATCAGGAAACGCTGTAGTAACCGTGGATGTAGCTCAGGATCTTGCCATCTTCTAGGAACAGAGGGCCTCCCCTTTCCCCCACAGTGAGGTCACTCACTATTGCTCCTCTCGCGAGCGCATGGTATTTCTAAGCCAACAGGGCCACCTCGTGGGAATAGAAATCCCCTCCATAGGATACATTGTTGGTCCACTGTAGCTTCCCAATTTTTCCATTTTGCAGCTTTCTTTATACTGCTTCTGTGAATGGGAAAGTTCTATCCCAACAATTAGGAGTAAAATGTCCTCTGCAGCCAAATTTTAGTCCTGATACTGTCCCATCAGCAGGAAAAGCACCATTAGGTCCTTTAGTCCCTTTAAGGCACCTATTCTGGCTCCAATTAAAACAGTACTTAATTAGTAAGGGGATTTTTAAGTCCAGAAGTTAACCCAAACCATTTTCTAAGGGTAAATGCTTTAGCACGGGCCATAATAGCAGCCAATCTAGCACATTCCCTCTGTTAAAGGAGCCTTGCCTTTTACATGTTTTTTTCCCAAGATCCATTTTCCAGGGAGGCACACAGATCACACAAGTCTAGAAAATAAAAGGGGAACAACACACAGAGAACTAGGACAGAGCAGGTATGCATGACTAATCCCATATTCTAGTTTCTCTAGTTCCATGGCTTGGAGGGTCACGCCTCCAACCATGGGCGGCACATTTAACAAGGTGTTGGGACCCAGGAACCAAGGAGGGAAAACAGTCAGGGGGACGCTCCCACTGTCTTCCTTCTCCACACTGGGTCACACACTGAAAGGAAGGAGACTAAAAGGATGACTTTTTCTCACTTCTTTTTCTAGATAGGAAACAGACCATCTATAACCTGCACTCCTCTGGAGTGCATTCTAAAGAGCTAGGACTCCTTCAACCCTGAGACTTTGAAGAAAAAGCGCCTCATATTCTATTGCACAAAGGCATGGTCTTCTTACCATCCTGGGGACAGACAAACCAACTGGAGGGGGCCTTGCTTTTAATATTATCCAACAATTAGATCTTTTCTGTAGACAGAAGGGCAAATGGTCTGAGGTCCCCTATGTATAGGCTTTCCTTGCCCTGCAAGACAACCCAG